TTATTTTTATAATTTATTTAGGTATGTAGATGTATTGGGCCTTTGTTTGACATGAGCCCCAGCCTACCACACATTTTGCCATGTCCCGAGGTTGTTTCTCGCACCATTATTTGAAGAGACCCATTCTGAGATGTTATCAAACTCTTCAAAGTGGCCAGAGGCATGTGCGAACTATATGAAGGTTTTGCGGGGTGGAAACTATACAATCTCCATGCATGTAAAGAAGGATTTGAAGTATGAACCAAAGGGACAATATCTTGGTCATTGATAAGGCAGTCCGATAGACGACCGGCGACTATCATCATTAGTGAGGCATGTCTTTGTATAAGATCATATGAATATCATCTTATCTGATACTGAATATTGTTAAACACAAATAGTTTCTCATATATCTTAATATAATTGCTAGGCTGCTAAAATTGTTGGACCTGGAGGAAGTCTATATGAGAGATTGTGCGACATGGATTATATCAAACGCATGCTAAGGACGCAATACATGATGCACATGTCTATTAGTGAATTTCCAAACTTCGAATTCTACGACGGTTCAATTACCAATGGAGAATATGTTATTCATAAAGAATATACCAAGGATTATCTCCATGGCAAATATTATGGTCCATATTCATTTATTGATATTGAGGGCCATGAAGAGCGTAGAGATGCTAATTTTGTTAATACAGGTTGAAGCTACTATAGCAATCAATAGGTATATCTAAAGATTAAGTTGTCAAGTAGCATGTTAAAAAAAGTAGTTTCTGTTCTTCAGCAATTGATCAAACTAATCATGTGTTTCTTTGGTCCAAAATTATCACAGCATGCGTCAAGGAGGAAAAACAAATGCCGGTGTCTTATATCCATATAAGGCCCAAGTGAATGTTCTAGGAGAAAGACTAAGGAAATTTAAGCAGGACAAGTTTTTCCATGTTGTAGTAAATACTTTTGATGCATCTCAAGGTGATGAGAGAGATATAGTATTAATTTCAATGGTTAGGTGCAATCTTAATGGGGATATAAGCTTTCTAGATGGTGGAAAAGGAGCTAATGTGGCATTGACAAGAGCAAGGTATGTTGTTCTTTGGTGACATTCAAGTTCGGCATATCGTATCTACCAAACTTTTTATTTCAAATAACTCTATGCTGTAGACATTGCCTATGGATCCTTGAAAATGGGAAGACTTTTGAAAATGATCATTCGATATGGACATCCGCCACTGGCGGATCTAGGATTTGACAATGTGGGGCCAACAATGAACAACATTACAATGGCTAGAAAAATATATATACTACACTACACCAAAATTAGTATGATGGACAAACATTGCACTAGTAAAATCGAATTTGTAATTTTTGTATGGGGGCTGTGGCCCCCATGATGACCCCACCCCTAGATCCGCCAATGTCATCCGTAGTCAATTATTCAAAACGATGTGAATCTTTCTTTAAGGCTAGTTGTGATGACATAGATCAGGTAATGTTGTGCAGTAGATTTAGGGGTTTAAATACCATAGTTTTATAGTTCATGGGTTTAAGTGGACCTGTTCCTATTTTAAGGACTCCTCCCGTGTCGCCCCTTCGCGGCGATCGGGGGGAACCCTAGCGCCGCCGCATCCTCGTCCCTTCCCCGACCTCTCCTCCTCGCCGCCGCTGGGCAAAGCCCGGTCGGCGTCGGCAGCGGCGGGATCTCTTCTCCCACGACTCGCTGAATCTGGCGGGGCGGATCGCAGCGGTTGTTGGCGGCGCGCTGGAGGTGGGGCGCGCCGGCGCGGGCTTGGGGGTGACGACAGGGCTCACGCTCGCGGTTTTCCCCCGGTGTGTGTGGGAGTCTGCTCGGGCGCTCGGCGGCGGCCCTCGGCAAGCGGTGGCGGGCGCTGGGCTCTCGGCGGCGCTCCGGCGTATGCAGGCGGCGGTGGTCCTTGTGCGCGGTCGGCGGCTCCGTCTCTAACCCGGACGACGCGGGGGATGGTGGCGGCCCGGTGTGGCCGGCGATCTGGATGCGGTGGTGCCGGCGGCTCGCTGATCTGCCGGTGCTCCAGGGTTCTGCCTGATGATGCTGGTGGTGACGGCGGCCCGTGCACAAGAGTTGGATCCCTTCGAACTGATCTGGGTGAAAACTTGCCTTCGGCGTCTGCTAAGGCCGGCGGTGGCGGTGCTATTGCGCCGTTCCCTTCTTGAAGGCATCGCCGTGGAGAAGTTCAAGGCCACTCTCTGCTACCTCCGGGGGAAACCCTATATCGGATGATCGAATGACGGTGGCGCTCTGGTGTCGTTCCTCCCTTGGGGGCGTCATTCTTGGAGGTACACACGTGATCGAGGGACCAGAGGACGGATTCTTTGGTGGAGCGGTGTTTCATCCTACACACTGATGGCGACGGATCTTGACGGCGTGGCGCGATGCAGCTGTGGGAGGATGGACTCACGCAGAAGGATGACGATGTCGGGCGTCATGGTGGTGTCGATGGCAGAAAGACCTGGCACGGTACATGCAACAGTACAGCTCTGAAGATGGATTGGTGGCAGGTGGCTGCGACGGCCTCATACCCGGCAGGCGTCCTGGTTGAGGAGTGCGCCGGACTGGTAGGTGTCCCATACCCGGTAGGCGTCCTGGTTGGGACCTCAGGTCTTAGATGTTTACGTTTGGCTGCGATGTCTGTTTGGTATTAGGCTCAGACTATCTGCGCCCCTTCATTAATTGGATAGGTGTAGCGACAATTGTTGCTTAGACGGTGGCTTTAGTCTTGCTGTTGTATGGCTTTGTAAGGTCTTGTGAGAATAATTAATAAAATGACCGTACGCATCGCCCAGATGCAGAGGCTGGGGGTCATCCTCCTTTTCTAAAAAAAAAATCCTATTTCAGATTTTATGGTCTCCAATCAGATTTTTGTGTTGTATTTTACTTCGATGTACACCTTCAGCTTTACTATGTATGGCAGTTTGAGTTATTTGTGGGATGAAGAAGGAGAAGGTTTCAATTAGGGTCCTAGTTCAACCAGATCTGCCTTTTTCAGCTAAGCCGATTCCAATGATCGGACGGACAATACTTGCTTAAATCTAGCACCTTGTTGCCTTACCTTTTCTTCCAACCCAGATCGTCTCACACCTTTTGTCACGGGCACACACGCTCTAGTTCTCTTTCCAGTATTTTCTTAAGTGCTAATGGCGCCTTCCACCAGTTCCTTCTTAATCCCTTCCTTTCCTTTTTTATCTGCATTGTCAATTGCACATTCATGCAAATACTGATGCAAAGGAACCAGGAGCCTCTCAAAATGTATTCAGAATAAGCATATTTGTTCATGGTTATCAGATTCGGCCTTTTTCTTCTTTTTACGTAACAAAGATTGTAAGAAATATTTTATTCCACTGCAGGAACATGGTAATGAAGAATCTCAATCAAATTTTCCAAAAAGAGCAAGATGCCTAAATGATGACACCAGATATGAGACTGCTCGGTGTGCTTTAGATGCACAAAGGATTCAGTTTTCGCTGAATGATGACATTTTATTAGCTGTTCAGTCCGCTCAAGTCCAACCAGGTGATCAGTCCGAGTCTTGGTCAGAGCACAATGAGGGCATGGAACTCACAGTGCCAACTTCACTGTTTCCAGAGGCCGCGGCAACTACACCAACAGTTTCAGATGGAGTGCCGGTTATTCAGAAATCGGTGCAAATTCCAATTGATATTTGAGCCATGGTACAAGTCCATTCACCAAGAGGGCATGGAACCCGCAGTACCAGCTTCAGTGTTTCCAGAGGCCGCATCAACTGCACCAACAGTTTCAGATCGAGGGCAATACATAACTCATCGCAAATACCAACTGATGTTCAAACCCCATTACCTATGAACAAGGCTCTCCATGCCCTGAGAGAAAATAACGTTGTAACGATATGCGCTTTTGGACCATCGAGCAGCAGGACCTGTACCAAAGACTCTACTGCAACAAGGATTTCACTGTGCAACACTGGATCAACTGGAGAAAATTCAACGATGAAGTGGGCAGGACAGTTCGTACGAGTTGTCATTCCATTGGTCTTAAGAGTTTCATGATGGAGAAACAATGTGACTGGGATCCTGAGATGATCTGGCAGTTCTTCGCCAGTCTACATAAGTGAGGATAGGAACTCACGGTTTCCTTCTTGCCTTCAACGGCAATGTTCCTCTGATAAAATTATGTCCCAAGTTACCGATCATACTATCTTCAACTAGTACATTTTGACAACAAGCAAAGCAAATAGGACCGCCCTGTCGCCAATAAGCATCACATCATTGCACTATGACAGACCGGCCTGTTAACATTAGATGCACCCAAATATGCTCTTATCTACTCCCTCCGTTCCAAATTACTTGTCACAGGTATGGATGTATTTAGATGTATTTTAGTTCTAGATACATTCATTTCTGCAACGAGTAATTTGGAACGGGAGGGAGTAGCTTATAAGTAACGTGACACTGCGGGAGTCAGACCAATGTTCCGTAGTGCAAAAATAAAACTTTACAGCTTTCTTCAGGCTCGCAAAAAACGCTAAACAAGGGGCACTTAGATCATTAACTCTGTAGCCTTCACAAAGCTTCACAAGCTGCTCCAGGCTCATAAAATTGATAGATAAGGGGACTTCATGTGTGTTGGCTCCAAGCCAAAATGAGACAAATTTACAGATTTCTCCAGAAGTTTCTGATCCCAGAAGCAAGCGATTTCAGGCTCCCTAAAAGACTTGTCTTGCTTGATCCCTGCTCCTCGACCTCGGGGTTCTCTTCTCTGCGCAACATAAAGAGAGACAAAATATGATCAGGACGTCCAGCATTAACACTTACAAAAAACAGCTGAAATGCCCAGCATGTTGCTTAAGGCAAATTGTAATCAATAGGGTGTACAAACTCTCTCCAAACCATGTCAAACCGTGAGTTTCCTTACTAGCAAAATAAAAACAGTACAAATGAGGGTGTCATGTTTGGTGTTAATCCACCACTTGCCGGTTTTGTTGGAACAGCACTAAACTGACATGAACATCCCTATAGACAAGCAATTCACAAAAGGAAACGATTTATGGATACATTTATACAAACCTGCTGCAAATGGTGGTATGTTATGGGGTCTGAGCTTTTGAATCAAATGACTTCGTCAAACTATAAACTAACCCTGGTCAGCAGGTAGTCAGAACTAGAAATTTGTTAGCTTCAGCAGGAATTCAACGTAAAAGAATTAAGTAATAATTTCCTTGCATTCTGAACCATAACTAGGGATCTAAAACATGTCCAAACCAAGTTCCCAGAGTGCCAGTGGCACTGTTTTGGTTGTTCCCTCGCAGTATTATGATGACACGTACCCTGGGACCAACGAACCACCCACTTGAATGGCAAGCCAGAAATCAATTGAGGCTTCTAAGTAAGATTATCAGGAATGAATTCTCAGTGCTTGATAGCATGAAGCATTTTCTCAATGACAGGATTGAACAAAGGAATTGGTACAAATTGATGGAAATCCGACGATTTGCTGGGAACTGGCTGTCACCAAGGCTAAATGACGCAATCAGTCCTCACGGTTCATCACACCGATGAAAGCATATTTAGTTATATCATAATAATGTAAGACATGACTTGCCCATGCATTTAATTTACTAAGTATTATCACTATAAGCACTTAGCCATTTAGCATGTAACAAATAATACCTGTGAAGTACATTCCCTTTAATCACTGTGTCATGTTCAGTTTGATCAGATACAGTTGGTTCAGTTGGATCCTGGAATTTTTTCACATTGTTCGAATGCAACTTGTTAACTTCAGTTTCCCCTTGACGATTCCCGTTGTCTGACTTAGTCTCCAGTTCCAAAGATATGGGTGCTTCAGTCTGCATAGGCATGATAATTTTGAGCAAATGGCAGGTCTTGCCAACATACAAAATAACGATTTTGGCAGAATATTTTAAGTGCATAGCATTAGAACCTTCATGCTATCAATTTCTGCTTGTTTCGATACAGTCAGGTCATTAGCATCTGCAGCTGCAGTACATGAATCTTGCTTGGCAACCTCACCACTGTAATGAGAGGAGTCTTGTGACTCTAGAGATCCCAATGGTTGATTCTGCAGGGACAACATAGTATTACGCATATGACATACAGAAACCCAAGATACTGTTGGAATCATGTTTCCAGCTTGCCCCATTGAAATGTTAAACTGAAGTAAAAACACCAGAATAGTAGTTTAAAAATAAAGGTGAAACTAGGAGTGTACGTTTTCTATGATTGTAGTGCCCATAGCAGAGTCTTTCTGGGAGAGGAGTGTGTCATCTGGGTTCAATGCACTGCTCCCGCTTTCCTCGAGCCTTGATTGCTCAGCACATTCACCTGTCTCATGGAGCTGGGCTGCCTCGGAGTTATATAGCGGTAACTTCACCTCCTTTGCGTCCAAAGATATGGAAGCTTCAGTCTGCATATGCATAATAGTTTTGAGGAAAATGGTTACAAAATCTTATCTGCATACAAAAACACAATATTGGGAGAATATTTGCAGTCATCTGCAGTGCGCAAATTTTGCATGGTAACTCCAGTTCTCCATTGATATGAAAAGACTATTGTGATTCTAGAGATTTCCACTGTTCAGTCTGCAGGACATATGGGCATATGAAATAAAGACACAAGACACTGTGTTGGAATCATGTTTCCAGTTACCCCATTTAAACATTAAAATGAAGTAGAGCACTCAAGGAATAGCTTGAAAATAAAGGTGAAAGAAGGAGAGTGTACGTTTTCCATGATTGTATTGCCAGCAGGAGAATCTTTCTGGGATAGGAGTGTGTCATCTTCATCCTGATTTCCGTTGAAGCTCTGAGAGTTAAATGAACTGTTTCCACTCTCCTCCTCTGGCCTTGACTGCTCAGCACCTTCAGCTGTCTCCTGAAGCTGGGCTGCCTTAGACTTATCAAACGGAAACTTTATCTGGTTATACTTTACTTCCGAGAGTACATCCCTAATTGTGTAGTGACCCCCTCCAACACTTTGACGAATCATTTGCATAGTCGGAAATCTACCGTCATTTGATGCCTGATAACTGCAGTTAAACAGACGCACGCAATGCAAGACTCATCAGAGCAAAGCAGAAGCCATTCAGTATCAGTGCACGTGCAATTGCCGCCTTTGATCAGACTTTTCATACAGATTACACATGAGTTCCACTATGTTTATCCTATTGGTTTCTAGTTCTCACAATCTAATCTGGGGAACAGCACAAAAATGGCAATCCTTTGACGCAAAATCACTAAAATCACCGAACTGAAACCAATGAATCGTAATCACAAATGCTACAAAGCTAAGGCCACCTACCCCTCAATAAACTCCTTCATCCTAGCCTTCCTTTCATTCTTGGATATGTATTCCCTCTTCTTGCCCTTGGGTGGGTCCGCAGCCGACAGCGGCGCCGCATGCGCCTTCCACCGCCATGTCCGGTAGCACGGCCTTGCGACCGCGCCAGAGACGCCCGAAATCACTGAAGAGAGAAGACATAATCGGAACAAAACATCAGCCCGACCACAGTTACGCGCCGCCAAACGGGGTGCATTCACCAAGTATACATCCCATTTGGGCACGATTGCTTACCCTTTCTGGAGGCGGCGGGCGAGGAGAGGCGCGCGAATGCCTGCATCGGGGAGGGCAATGGAGGATTCGGGAGGACGGTGGTCTTAGGGTTTCATGGTGGCTGGATTCGACGAAAAGAGGGAGGTTTTAGCTTGATGGGGAAGGCGAGGACGAGGAGGACGGCGAGCGACGGCTGGGGTTAGAGGCAGGGGCCCGACAGTTGGTGTGCTCCGGGCCGGATGAGAATCCTTGGTGTCCTCGCCACAAGCGCTCAAGCCCGGCCCATATAAATCAGTCAGACACTGCGGGCTGGTTGTGTGCATGCTGCATTTCCTAAAGAAAATGTGCATGCTGCAAAATATGTCAACTTTTTTTTGCGGGACCAAATAGGCGAATCCTATTTGGCGCTTATGCGCCCGTTTGCAGGGCGAGGCTAGTTGGGCCCGGCCCATCTCCCCCTTTCTTAATAGATTCGAACCTGAGACCAAATGCTTCGCAGAGCACGTGACAATTAAGGAAAACGTTAATAATCATCCCACTTATCTTTCTCTCTTGTAAGCCTCCCTCTCTACGTGCCACGTGCCGCGTCAGGCTGCGGCTGCCCACCGCTTCGCTCCAACCTTATCTTATATCTAACGCAGCTCCTCCACTCATTTCTTCTTCTTTCTTCCTCATACACCCATCGCCAAGAGATTAGCCATGCCGAGCAGCCGAGCAGCCGAGCACCACCACAACAGCTAGGAAGATGGAAGAGCTTTGACGCCGGCCGTCGGCACCAACAGCCGGAGCTCCTCCGTTGCATAGCTGGAGGCGGCATAGCTGCAAAGCAGCGCCCATGGAGGGGAGCCATGGTGAGCACCACCACAACAGGGGGGGAACCGGGAGGTGCTGCCGGCGATACGAAACGGCGCTCGTCAACGAACGCCGGTGCTGCAACACACCAACGCGTCGACGGCCGCCAGTATGCAACACAACAACTTGTCCACGGCCATCACGGTGCG